ATATTTTTACGTCCAGTAGGTGTCCTACTAGAGCAAATGAAGCTTCAAGACGCTTTGCGCTGGGGTGAACCAATTGGATGAAAAGCTTCAGTGCTTCATGAAGCTTCATCTGCCCATCACTAGAGGACACTTCTCTTGACCACGTTGTAAATTTTGCAGCTTTACTTTTTTGTTACTGCTGAATCCAATGTCTTAGCGGTCACCCTGAAATAAATTCTTTTAAAATACTTCATTTTATGATCGTGCCTTCACATCTTCTTTTTCTTACAACTATTACTTCCTCACATCCCCTGGGCATCCTGTGAAACATAACTGTTATAAATTTGCTTTATTTAGAGACAGCACCAACAACTAAAACAACAATGTAAACTGAAGACTGTTCCAAGGTATCAAGGCTTCCATCCGTTAATAAAACTTGTATATATTTTATTCAATATACAAATATAACTCTTTTAGATACAGCAGCAATGTGTCATCAGGAAAATTATTACAAAGAAGACAGAAAAGAAGACAAAAACAAGAGGATAAGCTCCTCGGTCACAGTATTTTCCCCACATTGGAAATCATCTGCGAGTTAACCTTTATGACAGTCTCACCTGTTCCCAACAACCCAATATTTCTGACAGATTACAGCTACAACAATAAAATACAACACAGCATCCGCTTTTGAAGGGAATTGTGCAGGTATGGCAAGATAACCTCATATCAAGCATTACTAATAAGAATATGAACAACACAGATCTCTGAATTCTAATGTGGCTACATACAGAAGATGGATTTATATTACATATAACTCTTACTAAAAAGGAAAAAACACATTTTCTTCTGTTCAACAACTGTGACAAACAAACAGAAGATCAAACTGAAACTGATTTCCAAAAAATGTGTTTATAGCCGCTGTGAAGTAAGTCCTGTGTTTCATCTTTAAAGTTCTTTACGTTCTCTGAAAGTGCAAGAACATCTGTCCTTATGTGATAAATATCCATTCTGCCTTAATCATCACTCCTCCTGCCCTTGTGTGTTCTCTTTCAGATGTTGTGCTACTCGCTGGTTTATGCGTTGGAGATCTTTCAAAACACTCGGGCGATCTTCGAGCTCCTCGTGGAGGGACCACGCTATTTCCAAGCTCCTGTAGTCGTTTGGTCGCACAAGACGCCGAGTAACCTGAAGAGCTCGATCCTTGAGACTGTAAACTGTGTAAACAAACGCTTGTTAACAGTGTGGGATTTTTTGTCAACTCACAAATCCAAATATAGATCAGTTTGTCTCTAAACTTACCAAAATTTCTTATGCCAAAAGTGAATCAAACATTACTAACATTAGAGTTTCTTAATTAAAACATTACAACATCTGTCACACTATTTTGCGTGGTTTCCCCTGAAAATTGCTGATGAAAAAAAGAAAAACAACTGGTAAAATTTCTATAATATCCAGAGAAACTATTACGTATTTTTTCATGAAATTAGCGTGTATGATTTGATCAATATGTCAATCACTCTGTATACTCTGAAACTAGCTTAATGCACACTTACTACTAAATCATAATTGTATGGCACAGAGACTTCAGGTAATATAACTGATGTTTTACCTGGTAAACTGATATTGGCATATGTCACATTTCCACCCCCTGCTGGCTTAGGAAGAAACAGCTCTTTGCTGTTGACCTTGAGAGGGTCATCAGTCACTGCATCTCTGAACATCCACGGGTGACCTGGAAAAGATACAAGCAGAAACACTGTTTAAGAGTTAAAGCCTGAGGCCTGTACTACAAACAGTTAACCCTGGGTTAACTGCACACTAGGGTGGTTAAATTCCTGTGAGGGTATATCGCCATGATAACTTGTGTTGTCCTTTTGTTGTACCTTTTCGAGATTAGGGATCAACAGGTACAAAATTGCAGCCTAACGCTCACCATAAAATAGCGTAACCCAGAATGGTCTTAAGACCCCACCTACTGTACCAGAGCCACACCACTGTGCCTGCCTCTCTCTCCACATAGCGCTGTCGCCTCCGGTGAAAATCCTGACACCCTTTCCACACCCATCACTTTCATTGCAGACCAGGTTCAGATGCAAATGAGGAGACTCCACTCAGACAAGTCTGCTAGACAAGACGGAGTGAGTCCCCGCGTCCTCAAGGCCTGTGCCCCCCAGCTTTGTGGAGTCTTCCATAAGCTGTTCATGCTGAGTCTGAGTCTGCACTGCAAAGGGTCCCAGTGCTGTGGAAGACATCATGCCTCGTCCCTGCACCAAAGACGCCACGCCACAGTGGCCCCCAGGATTACAGGCCTGTGGCACTGACCTCCCGCATCATGGAGACACTGGAAAGGCTCATCCTGGACCAGCTCCAACCCATTGTCAGACGACATCTGGATCTCCTTCAGTTCGCTTACCAGCCCCGTCTCGAAACTGAGGACGCCATCATCTACCTGCTTAATTGTGTCTACACCCATCTGGACCAGCCAGCGAGCACTGTGAGGGCCATGTTTTTTGACTTTTCCAGTGCTTCCAACACCATCAGGCTGACCCTCCTGGGAGATAAGCTGACAGCGATGCAGTTGGATGCTTCTCTGGTGTCCTGGATTGTTGATTACCTGACAGGAAGACCACAATATGTCCACAGTGTATGTCTGACAAGGTAATCAGCAACACAGGGGCACCACTGTGTTGCTGATCAGGATTTTCTACGAGTCTGTTGTGGCCAGTGCAATCTTCTATGCCGTTGCATGCTGGGGGAGCAGGCTGAGGGTTGCTGATGCTAACAGACTTATAAACTGATCCGTAAGACCAGTAATGTTGTGGGAGTGGAGCTGGACTCCCTTAAGGTGGTGTTGGAGAGGTGGATGTTGTCCAAAATAAAGACAATGTTGGATAATACTTCCCACCCACACCATGACATGCTGGTCAGTCACAGGAGCCCGTTCAGTGAGAGGCTGAGAGTACCAAAGCACCACTGAACGACACAGGAAATCGCAGGTTTTCAGCACTATATACATATGAACAGTATAAAGAGAAAAGAATACATAAATTGTACAAATATACAAGAGTAATGCTTTAAAGGTGATATTATTTCATGATTTTCTTGACACAATTCTAGGTTCAGTTTCCAAGACGTGGCTTAATATTTTTATTATTATTATCATTATTATGAATCTCGGTATTAAAAGACAGACAAAATACTAAAACATATTATTTAAACAAAGAGACAATCATTAAAATTACACAAAAAAACCTCCAGTCAATCAGTCAGTCAGTACAAGGTTCAAGACAGAATTAAGCACAAATATCAATAAGAGCTGGCAACACAGATGATAATCAAAACAACTGAAAGCTGACTTTCAGTCTGTAAAGACATCACATGTAACAGACCTGCATAAAAACAAGTCTATACATATATGTCCGTGTGTGTTTGTAGTAAACCTAATCCTAGACTTCCATCGTTTTCCTTTAGTCTGGGCTGGGTTCTTGTCTGAGAAAGCTGCGTTCAGGTGATACCAACATTCCTAGAAAACTCATTGATTTTTTACACAAAACATAGCTTTAAATCTCTAGAAATACCTGAGTAAGCACCCTTGCTAAAATAAAGCTACAAAGAGCCACTCGTTAGCTAATCGCTTTATGCACTAGTAACGTGCAAACAGCCGTCTTACCGACGTAAGTGTGCATCCCCCGTCCAGTCCCTGGTTGTATGTCATCGTAAGGATGCGGTTCTCCCTGGTAATTTATCCACAAAGGCCGTACGACACGGGGACTATGGTTATAAAACATCACTTTAACTGGTATCTGACTGTTCAGGGAACGAACCAGAGGAAGAGACTCCTCTCCTTCTTGAGGCATTGGAGCTAAATAATGCTAAACTGTTATCGCAGCGAGAGTCGCGTTTTGTAGCTAACGCTAGCAAGTAGCTCCCTAAATGTTTACAATCGTCCGCGACGGCAGCTACTCGAAATTATAAAAATCGTATCAGTTAATCTGTCTAGTTACTCTGTCTACTTATCTTATAAAACAGAAACAGTTAAAAACACTTTTAAACGCCGCAGCGAAAAAACTACTTCTCAACTAGTTTGTTTACAGTCACTTTTCCGGTTGAAAGTGGAACGTCGAACTGTTCTGATCTCTGATTGGTCGTGACATGCGTGACGACATGCAGTGGCTCGCTGCAAGACATGCGTTCAGTACGCGGTGTACGTGGTGCAGAAGCAGCAACAAGAAAATAAATTTCAAAAGAAATCACAACAGGAAAACTGTCAGACTCTCACCCACCTCCACCTAGAAAATAAATAAAAGCAA